TTCTCTGGTCCAGGCCTAGGAGGAATCTGCGCCAGGGGAGGGAAGAGAAGTAATAACCACTGAGCGGCAACTGGATGCCAGGCCCTGGGCATGCTCTGAGGGCCATTGCACAGGACCCTTGCACCACTTTGTAGAGGGGTCAACATTCTCTCTCTCTATTTTTTTTTTGACAGTCTTGCTCTATCACCCAGGCTGGAGGGCAGCGGTGTGATCTCAGCTCACTGCAACCTCCACCTCCCAGGTTCAAGCAATTCTCATGCCTCAGCTTCCCAAGTAGCTGGGATTACAGGTGTGCACCACCATGACCAGCAAATTTTTGTATTTTTAATAGAGACAGGGTTTCACCATGTTGCTCAGGCTGGTCTTTAACTCCTGGCCTCAAGCGATCTGCCCGCTTCGGCCTCCCAAAGTGCTAGGATTATAGGCATGAGCCAACATGCCCGGCCCTCTGTGTTTTTCTTAAGTAGCTTTATTGAGCTATAACTTATATGCCATGAAATTTACCCATTTTAAGTGCACAATTTGATTATTTTTAGCAAGTTTACGGAGTTGCAAAACATCCCCACAATCCAATGTTGGGACGTTGCCATCACCCCAAAAAGATCTCCTGTGCTTATTCCATGGTCACTCCCCACTCCCACCTCTAGCCTGGGGCAACCACTAATCTGCTACTATCTTTTCTGCCTTTCCTTTTTCTTACCTGGCTTCTTTCATTGAACATGTTTTTGAGTTTCATCCATGTTGTAGCCTCTATCCGTACTTTATTCCTTTTTATCTATTTTTAATTTATTATTTAATTTGATTTTTTTTTTTTTTTGAGTCAGAGTCTCACTCTGTTGCCCAGGCTGGAGTGCAGTGGTGCGATCATGGCTCACTGCAGCCTTGACCTCCCACACTCAAACGATCCTCCCACCTCAGCCTCCCAAGTAGCTGGGAATACAGGCACACACCACCATGCCCTGCTAATTTTTTTTTATTTTTTGAAGAGATGGGGTCTCACTATGTTGCCCTGGCTGGTCTTGAACTCCTGGGCTCAAGTGATCCGCCCGCCTTGGTGTCCTCATGTGTTTACAGGTGTGAGCCACTGCCCCAGGCCACTTTGGTCCTTTTCAGAGCTGAATAGCATGCTACTCTCTGACCACATTTTGTTTTTCACTTACAAGTCAGTGGACGTTTGGATTGTTTCAATTTTTTGACTCATAAACAATGCTGTGAAGAACATCCGTGTGTAAGTCTTCGTGGGGGACATGTGTTTTTATTTCTCTTGGGTAGATACCTAAGAGTGCAGTTGCTGGATCGTGCTGTAGTTTTATGTTTAACTCTTTAAGAAACTGCTAACCTGTTTTCCTACATGGCTGTACCATCTCATTCCCACCAGCACTGTATGAGGGCTTCTGTGTCCCCATGTCCTCGCCAACCCCTCACATTTGCAGGTGATGAAGATGCGGCTGAGAGAACGGTTTGTTAGGTCAAACAGCACACAGAGGCAGAATTAAGGTTTTTGAACCCAGGTGTACCTGACTTTCTGGTCTGGGCATGGACTTTAGCAAAATGCAACAGTTAGAGGCCCTGAAGAGGCAGATCAGCAGGGTCCACCAGGCTGGCATCCCGGGATATGGGGCAAGGCTTGGAGAGGGCTGAGGAGTGATTGGACAGGGCTCAGTAGCCCTTGACTCACGCCACTACCTGAGGGCTCGGGGCTCCCGCATGGCCAGTGGCAGAGGCGTTCACCCCAGGAGGTCTTGGCCTCTGCCATACATAAGATCTTCTCTCTGGCACCCTCCCCTGCCCCGCCTGCATTTCCTGCAGGCTGCCATGTATCCCGTTTGGGTCTGGATATGTCCTTGTCATCCCCACTTCTGGCGCTCCACAGGAGGAGGAATGGGCTTTCCTGTCCCAGCCCCTAGATCTTTACCTCTTTCTGCCAACCTCAGAGTCTGCATGCAACCTAAGAGTGTCAAAGAGGAGGAACAAGCTCATCTTGTTCATCTGTCTGCCTCAGGGAAGGACCGGTGACAGGACAATGGGCGAGGTGGGTCTGGCCAGCAGGTGGCAGAGCAGCCCACGTGTCCTGGCCAGCCCTCATCCCTTCCCACCATCATCATGGAACCACCACCTTTGCCCCAAGGAAAGGAGGTCTCACGGGACCAAAGGGTCCAGACCACCCATTCAAGCTTCGTTTGCAAATTTGGAAAAAAAGAAGGAGGAAAACGTGCATTTATGGAGCACCAGCCATAGGTCAAAGCTTCTTCATATACACCCTTTCTCTTGATTCTCATGTCCACCCTGAGAACTGAGTCCTCATCTTTCCTCTGAAACCGATTCAGTGGTTCAGTGGCTTGCCCAAGTCTTGCATGCTAAGTAGTAAACCTCTGTTCCCACCCACCACACACGGAGTAAGCCTCTGACTCTTAAAGGCGGGGTGGTACCCCCGACAATGTCCTAAGTGTGAGCTGTGGCATCAGGTACACCTAAATTCAAATCCTGACCCTGCACTTTCTCGATGTGTGATCTTGGGTACATGACTGAAACTCTCTGAGTTGCAGCTGCCCCATCTGTGCAATGGAGCTCTCCAAACCCATGCTGTGAAGACTAAATGAGACACCTCATTTGTGAGGGAGAGTGAGCAAAGACTGTTGTTATTTCCCGAGACTGGGAGACTGGAGAGCAGGGCTGATGGTTTTCAGGCTCCTCCAGACTCTCGAGAGGGTCGTTCTCTTTGGTGCTTTGACCTTCTGTCTAGTTGGGTCTGTCCCCAGCCGGTTCACAGGAAGGCAGGGAAAGCCAGACACCCTGAAGGAGATCTGGAGTTCTGGAGATCTGACAGTTCCACTGTCCAACCTTGGGAGGCAAATTCCAGCTGGGATAAAAGAAGGAACAGAGTGTCTAGGACTTCCGTCTTTCCTCCAGTTATTTCCTCTCATCTTCTTTGCTGCATCCCTAAACTTTGCTCTTCCTTCAAGGCTGAGTCAGACCTCCTCCTCTAGGCGGTCTCCCAGCCTACCCCAGCCTACCCCAGCCTACCCTTGCCTGCCAGCCTCAAGGCCCAGTATCCAAGGCATTTTCAGCACCAGAAGGGCTGCAAGCTCCGCCCAGGGCAGGACAAGGGTCCCCTGGGGAAAACCTCAGGCTGGCGTGATCCAAGCTGTGGTCTCCCCCCATCCCACAGAGGAGGCACTGTGGACGACTCGGGCCGATGGGCGAGTGCGCCTACGCATAGACCCCAGCTGCCCACAGCTTCCCTACACTGTGCATCAGATGTTCTACGAGGCCCTGGACAAGTACGGGGACTTCAGCGCTCTGGGTTTCAAGTGCCAGGACAAGTGGGAGCACATCTCCTACTCCCAATACTACCTGCTCGCCCGCAGAGCCGCCAAGGGCTTCCTGAAGGTAAGGGGGCCCTTCATGGCAAGGCCTTGCCCCTCCCCAGATGTGCCTGCCAGCTCTGGGCCTCACAGGCCTCCTCTCCAACTGCCCACTGGGCAAGGCTCTTAGGAACAGTAACTGTAAAAGCCATCACTGTGGGTGGAGCTGATACTCCATGCTGGGCCGTGTACTGAGCTTTTATTTGCTGAGCCCCTACCATGTGCCAAGCACTTGATACTCACTTTTCATTTGTGATCACATTCAGGGCATGCTGGAAGTCCAGTGTGCTGGGCTGAGGGACCGGACAGACTCCTTGGGAAGGCCTTGGGAGGGGCAGTGAGGGCTGTTCAGTGACCAACCCCTTCTCCTCCAAGGGGATTCTCTGACCGAGGGGACCCTGGGAGGGTGGAGCCTGCAGGGTCCCCTGCAGTCTCGGTGGGGGCTCTGAGAGGGGCATGAGGGTCCCAGTCCCTGCCTGGCTGACCTGGCCTGTCTGCCTTTGGCCTGGAGCTCGGCCTGGAGCGGGCCCACAGTGTGGCCATCCTCGGCTTCAACTCCCCGGAGTGGTTCTTCTCGGCAGTGGGCACAGTATTTGCAGGGTGAGTGGCGGAGGCAGGGACGGGGTCTCCAGTGGGTTGGCGGTGGGTAGAGGGTAGGGGAGGGTCCTTGTCTCTTTTTAGTAGCCCCCACCCATTCCCCACCATCATGCCTCCTCCCTGGGGCCTTCTGGTGGACCTGCATCTGGCGCCCTGTCTGCAGGGGCAGAGGTGTTGAGGTGCCTTGGGAGCCCCTCCTGCCAGGCTATGGGAGCTCTCTGGGTCTAGGGGCTACAGATGTGGGGGTGGGGGAAGGGGGTGGCCCCTCTGCACCTCCCCTAAGGTGAATCTTCCTGGGTCTCCTACAGTGGCATCGTCACCGGCATCTACACCACCAGCTCCCCCGAGGCCTGCCAGTACATCGCTTATGACTGCTGCGCCAATGTCATCGTGGTTGACACGCAGAAGCAGCTGGAAAAGATCCTGAAGGTTTGGGGAAGGGGCAGTGGGCATGCGGTCAGAGGCTGGGTATCTCCATGCGCCTTCACTTCAACTCACACGGGACCTTCCTGCCCTCCATCCAGAGTGTCCTCATCCTCAACAACAACCCTCTAACTCACACACAGCAAGCAAGGCAGGGCAACAGCTATTTATCCATTTGACAGGCAAGGAAATGGAGGCTCAAGGGACATGCCCCAGAAGTGGTGATAAAGCCTTGGATAGGACTCCTGTCCAGCCACTGCCTCCCATGGCTTTCTCTTTGGGACAGGATCTCCCCTAAGGGAGAGCAAGAGCTGTGGGGGCCGGGGTCCTCTGGCAGTGGAAGGGTTATGTGCAGGTGAGTGGCTTAGGGCTCTGACATCTTGAGCACTCGAGTCTAGATGAGAAACGGGGTGATGGGGGTGGCGAGGGCTGCCACAGGGTGAGGGTTGAGCCAAGTCAGAGACAGTGAGGGCAGAGCAGCAACTCAGAGTGCCTCTAGAGCCAGCAGGGTCTTTTCCAGAGTGTTGATGATGCCTCCTGATCTAAGGCCCACCCCTAACTGGCTCTGTCCCCTCATGCACCATACTGGGGTGTGGTAGTCTGGGGACACCTCTGTGTCTCAGCTGAACCCAACAGCCTTTGAGGCGTTCAAGGGCTCCCTGCAACCCAAAGGAGGCCCCAGAGACTGACTTGTTGGCTTGCCTCTGATTCTGGAGATGTCACCTGGGCCACAGCTTCCATCTGTACCTGAGGGTGGGACAAATGGTCTCCAACCTTCGATGACTATGGGATCTGGATCCCCAGAGGTGCCAGAGCAGATGCCTACCCTCATTTCTAGTGGAGAAGTTTCCCGAAGCCTGAAAGAGAAAAGCAAGCGGGGCCAGTGGTTCTCAGCAGGGCAGTGCCAGAATCCTTGGGGGAGACCCAGGCTGCAGCCCAGACCCTTGAGGCAGAACCTCTTGGAGGGCTTTGTGACTTTGAAAATAGCCAAATCAGAGTGACTTTGAAAATAGCCTCAGCAGAGGCTGTGGGCAGCCCAGGCCAAGAATTTCTGGCTCACAGCAAAATAAAATGAAGCCCCAGTAAGACCTCAGAGCTGCCCTGGCTGGACGAACAAAGGCCTCTGAGCAGGGTTTAAACCCAGAGGTGGTGTAGAGAAGCAGGTGAACACACACACTTGGGCTGGACCTGCCAGAGCTCAAATGCAGTGTGGCCTAGGGGAGGATGGTGACAGGCGCAGAGGTCAACTGGAAGGGCTGGTGTAAAGGTAACTCTTAGACCAGCGTCTGGCTCTTGGTGGGCGCCTGCGTTCATTTGCCAAGGCTGCTGGAACGGGGTGGCTTCTGGGGTTGGCTGGCCATCTTTGTGCTCCTTGGCTTGTAGACACATCACCCAGGCCTCTGCCTTCATCCTCACCTGGCATTCTCCCAGTGTCTTCACGTTGTCGTCCTTCTGTGTCTGTCTCTGTGTCCCAATTTCCCATTTCTATCAGGACACCAGGAATATTGGATTCGAGCCCACCTTAATGACTTTGTTTTAATTACATTATCTCCATAAAGACCCTGTCTCCAAATAAGGTCACACTTAGAGGTACCAGGGGTGAGGACTTTGGGATATCTCTTTGTGGGGATGGGGACACAATTCAAGCCATGGCAGCACCATATAAGTGCTTTTAAATCATTATGTTGTCATAGTCTTCACTTGTAAGACAAGAAAGAAAGGGGTTCTGTCTAAGACTTAGGGAGCTTTCCTGGAGGGACTGGAAAAGGCATTCCATCCAACACCTACCCTCTGTCCATTTCACACATGAAGAAACAGACCCAGAGTGGAAAAGGAGAGTCCCAGGTGGCGGCACCACAGCCCACAGTAGCAGTGGATAGAAACTGTTCATGGCACACTGGCTCCACTGAGTGCCCTGCAGACATTGCAGCAGCCCGAGAGATGGGTCTTCTCACTCATTTTACAGGCAAGGAAACCAAGGGCCAGAGCAGTGAAGTATGGCTTCCATCCCTGGCAGGTGGCAGTTGAGTGACTCTGTGCTGCAGCTTCTTAAGAGGATGCCATGAGAACCATTTGTGAGAGAAATCAAGGGGACCACATCTCTCCACAAAGCATCATTTATGGGGAACTTATAAAGTGCCAGAGCCTGCTCTGAATACCCTAAATCAGCAACTGAGGCAGAGCGAGCCCCCCCTCTTCCAGCGAGGACAAGAAGGAAATATATAGCTGTGGCCAGCTCCTTACAGCCCTTGGAGGCCAGAGGCACTGTGAGACAAGGCTGAGGGAGGCCCCCACTCCCATTAATGTCTGGGCTGGGAATGTCAGCAACCTTAGGGTTTCAACCCTCAGCCTGTGGCAGCAGGGCTGGCTTCAAAGGGGTGTGGCCCATGCTTCACCTCACACAAAGTCCGAGTTTACGAAATTCTCTTTCTTTTCCTTCCTTCTTCTCTTCTCTTCTCTTCTCTTCTCTTCTCCTCTCCTCTCCTCTCCTCTCCTCTCCTTTCCTCTCTTTTCTTTTCTTTTCTTTTCTTTTCTTTTTCTTTTTTCTTTTCTTTTCTTTTCTTTCTGGCAGAGTCTCACTGTGCCACCCAGGCTAAAGTGAAGTAGCTCAATCATAGCTCACTGCAGCCTTGATATCCTGGGCTGAAGTGATCCTCTCACCTCAGCCTCCCAAGTAGCTGGAACTACACGCATGGGGCTCTACACCTGGCTAATTTTGTGTAGAGATGAGGTCTTGCTCTGTTGCCCAGGCTGGTCTCAAACACCTGGCTTCAAGCAATCCTCTGTCTCAGCCTCCCAAAGTGCTGGGCTTACAGGCATGAACCACCTCACCCAGCCTTGAAACTCTTAATAAGGTTTGAACAAGGGGTCCCACGTTTGCATTTTGCACCTGGCCAGTTCTGCCTTCGGGTTCCAGACCCCTCCAGGGGTTTGCTCTAATCCATGTGAGTGGACCCAGTTTTATCCCATTTTAGGATTATTTTGAAACCCCTTTTTTAAATGGGCACTTGGGCCTACTTGTGTTTTACTCAGAAGGATGTATCAAATGGGCCCACTTCATGAATGAGGGGCTTGTCTTGCCTCCGTGGGGGATCCTTTTCTGTCTCAGCTCCTTTTGACCCTGTGTTTTCAGGATCTCTCATTCTGAACATCTCCATCCTGTCTGACTTGAATCAATACTTGAGATTGGTTTGGATTATGCCACCTAAGATGAATTGCTCAGAGAGAATGAGAAGCGCCTTCTCTTTTGGCTCCCAGCAGGGATGCTCTGGTCGCTGGCCCTTCCAGGCACCTTGGCCTTGCTGTGACTCAATTTCTTCAGGTTTGGCAGCTTCATAGACCCCGTGACTTGGAGGCAAAGGGGTCATTGGACTAGTTCCTAAACTCCACTCCTCACAGCCCCACCCAAGCACTGATCTAGTCTCTCCCAGGACAGGCTTAAGATTTGCTTGAGGGCCAGGCTGGCAGATGCCTGAGCTACCTGTACCACTTGTACCCAGTAGTCATCCCTTCTCAGCCTCACCTGAGGGAGTCACACTGGCCCCACCATTCCCTCTCTTATCAGAATCCAGGGTAGGAAGGGTGGAAGACATTAAAAAGCCTCCCCACCCAGTAGGTTTTGCCAGGCCCCTCAGGGAGGCCAACCCCCTGTGTAAGTTGTTGGTCTAATCCAAATACCATCTCCCATCCCCATTTTGCAGTTGAAGAAACTGAGGTCCAGAGTTAGGAAATGACCACCCCAGGTCAATATTTAAAAGAAAGCTTGGTTTTTTAAATGTTTGAGACAAAGTCTCACTTTGTCACCAAGGCTGGAGTGCAGTAGCATGATCATGGCTCACTGCAGCCTCGACGTCCTGGACTCAAGCAATCCTCCCACCTCAGCCTCCTGAGTAGCTGGGACAACAGGTGCCTGCAGCACCATTCCTGGCTAACTTTTGTACTTTTTCTTTAGAGAGACAGGGTCTCACTATGTTGCCCAGGCTGGTCTCAAATTTCTGGCTCAAGCAATCCAAAATCCTGGAATTACAGGCATGAGACACCATGCTTGGTAATGTGGTTAGGCTTTGTGTCTCCACCCAAATCTCATCTTGAGTTGTAATCTCCAGATATTTAGGGAGCGACCTGGTGGGAAGTGATTGGATTATGGGGGTGGTTCTCCCGTACTGTTCTCATGATAGTGAGTGAATTCTCATGAGATCTGATGACTTTATAAATGGTAGTTTTTCCTGCACTAATACACACTCGCTCTCTTTCTCCTGCCGCCATGTAAGACATGCTCACTTCTCCTTCTGCCATGATTGTAAGTTTTCTGAGGCTTCCCCAGCCATGCAGAACTGTGAGCCAATTAAACCTCTTTTCTTTGTAAATTACCCAGTCTTGGCCAGTATCTTTATAGCAGTGTGAGAACATACTAATACACTTGGCATAAAATAAAATTTGTATTATGAAAGTTTTCAAACAAAAAAGTAGAGAGAATCCCCATATATCTATCATCAGATCCAATCATTGTCAATGTGTTTTCATCACACTTGCTTCTTCAATTCACCTTTTTGCTGAAGTGTGTGAAGGAAAATCTCTGATATCATGTCACTTCATTATCTGAATACTTTAATATGCATCTCTAAAAAATATGAAATAAGCTCTTTCTCAAATAAGCTCTGTAACTTTATCACACCTAGCACAAGTAAAGTAATTCTATCATATCATCTAATACACATATGATGTCTGTTTTCCAATTTTTTGTTGTATTAGACACATATGACATAAAAACATACCATCTTAACCATTTTTAAGTGTCCAGTGGTAAGTGCATTCAGATTGTTGTACAATCTCCACCACCATTCATCTCCAGAACTCTTGTCATCTTACAAAACTGAAATGTTGTACTCATTAAACAACTCCCTATTCCCTCCTGGCAACCATCATTCTACTTTCTGTCTCTATACCCACGATGTCATCGCATCATTGGTTTATTTGAATCAGGATCTAAACCAGGCCCACGTGTT